GCCAAAGGCAGACGCTTAACGACTGAGCCACCCAGGCGCCCAACACAGCGATATTCTTAAGATGTCAACAAATCATTTGTGTTGAGGACTGCAAGATCTGAAATCTACCTTCAACAGTAAATTGTATCTATACTTTCTCTTCATAATGTTCACAATTCCCAATGCCTCGAATGCTTCCAGTGCAGAAAGCACTAAGGAAAACCAACAAGAGTAATATACAATAATATTTTGTAAAAAAATTTTAAGTCCTCCCTTTTCAGGTTGAAAATGAAGACAGCCCAAGAATGCAGAATTGTACTTCAAGGGTCTCTCACTCCTTTTCATCTTTTCCAGAGTTTTCTTCTTATATTTGAAATGAGATCATGAAGTCTGCTTGTGATTTCTCACATTTCTATTGAATCCAAATGCACACAACACCCTCAAAAATCCATAAAAATACAAATCCATAAAAATAAAGAGCTCCAATGATCACGGTGAATGTGAGCAAAAGAATTTCTCTGCCATAAAGATATAAAGGTTGCTTTTTAATATACAGTAAACTACATTTTGGATAAAAGAATCTGGTTGCTTTTGCAAAAGTTTATTAAGTTTATGTGATATATTTTTATAAAGGAGAAACAAAAAAAATTCTTAGAAATCAAGTTAGAAAATCATGCTTGATGTAAACACTAAGCCACATTAAACACTAAGCCACATGGACATACCCTTATTCTATTCTGCTAAGTTATAATCTTGCTAAATACTGACAGTGGCCCCTAGAAGTGACCAAGAGAGGGGTCCATCACACCCCACCCCTCTAGAAAAAAAGGCAAATGAAGGAGAAAAATCCAGCAAATAATATAAAACATCAGAATATAGTGTCAAAGGAAGAATAGACTGAAAAATTATACTGTTGTCTATTTCTGATAAAACTAAAACTGATTTCTCATTTGATCATATGGTTTACTGCAAAACATGAAAATTATGCTGTTGTCTCTTTTCCAAAGCGCCACATGAGTCAGTCAAGAGATACAAAAACCCTGTGAAATAATAATTTATGGCTTTACTCTAAGCTGGCTAAATATGACCCCCGAAATGTCTGTGTTGGCATCTGCACAAGGAGTCAGAATACACCAAACTGAACTTCTAGGATTCACGATTCCTACAAGATAAACCCCTGTTGCCATAAAACAGTTGTTAGCATGCACTTGACAAACAGCAATTATCATAAAAGCGCAGAGGGCACAGACAAGCGGGATGCCTACATACCTTATATACATTTCTTCTCTTTCAATTTCTTTGTAGAAATTCTGAAAAATAAACCACAACACTGTTTTAAGAAACCTGTTTTACAAAAGGTGTCACATGAGCACTAAACACTCACAGTTCTTCCATTGGTGTCCAGCACAGCCAAAGGGACCCAGCTCTTTGGTTTAGAACCATAAATTCACATAAAGTACAAAGATGTCTTACACTGGTCTTCGCCTTTTTTGGGGGGCGGGGGGCGCGACGCTAATGATTCCATTCCTACACTGTGAGGACTAAAACCTACTTTTGTCATTTGAAAGTCACCAGTCTTCAGCTAAATGAAGGTATTACCCCAAAGATATGACGCCTTAGCCATTCTTACCATTGTAAAGTCATTAGAAGATGAAAAAAACATGAAAGTTCCCAAATTTGGGAATAAACATCATCAACATGATTTAAAACATGCTGGGCCCAGCCTTGGCTAGAGCTGCAAGAAGGCAATGTGGGATTCTAGACCTGAGGTGTCCAATACAGTAGCCATAGCCACATGTATGCAAATGTAAATGTAATTAAAATTAAATAAAGTTAGGGCCACCTGATTGGCTCAGTCAGTTAAGCATCCAACTCTTGACTTGGGCTCAGGTCATGATCTCAGGGTCATGGGATCCAGCCCTGTGTCGCGCTCCCCGCTCGGCAGGGAGTCTGTTTGAGATTCTCTGATTCTCTCTCTCCCTCTCCCTCTGCCCCTCCCCACTGCTCTCCTCTCTCTCTCTCTCTCAAATAAATAAATAAGTCTTTAAAAAAATTAAATAAAGTTAAACATTCGCTTCCCCTGGGAAGCCATCTGGCCCTGGACTCTTGTTTGTTGGGAGATTTTTTATTACTGCTTCAATTTCTTTGCTGGTTATGGGTCTGTTTAGATTTTCTATTTCTTCCTGTTTCAGTCTTGGGAGTTTATACATTTCTAGGAATTTATCCATTTTTTCCAGATTGCCTAATTTGTTGGCATACGATTGCTCATAGTATTCTCTTAAAATTGTTTGTATTTCTGCAGTATTGGTTATGATCTCTCCTCTTTCATTCATGATTTTATTTATTTGGGTCCTTTCTCTTTTCTTTTTGATAAGTTTGGCTAGGGGTTTATCAATCTTGTTAATTCTTTCAAAGAACCAGTTCCCAGTTTTGTTGATCTGTTCTACTGTTTTGTTTTGTTTTTTAATTTCTACGTCATTGATTTCCGCTCTAATTTTTATTATTTCCCTTCTTCTACTGGACTTAGGCTTTATTTGCTGTTCTTTTTCCAGCTCCTTTAGGTGTAGGGTTAGGCTGTGTATTTGAGACTTTTCTTGCTTCTTGAGGAAGGCCTGTATTGCTATATACTTCCCTCTTAGGGCCGCCTTTGCTGCATCCCAAAGGTTTTGGACTGTCGTGTAATTCATTTTACATTCATTCATCTTAATGTGCTTCCATGCTCCCTCTGTTACGCTTGCCATACCCTGAGTGCTCAGTAGCCACGTGGGGCTAGTGTTACTGTACCAAACTGTGCAGACAGAGAACATTTCCATTATCACAGAAATTTCTATTGGACAGTGCTGTTCCAGACAGACTGACCTTGCGAACCACAGTAAACCATGGAACTGGTTGCCACTTGAAAGCACCTTCTGTACTTCAACACTCTCTGATGAAGAAAGATTAATTAGCAGGTTATAAGCAATGGGCTCTTTCTACATACTGTAAAATATCTTCTGGGTGAACATGAAAATTCCTATAAAAATTGTATTTCTTGGGGTGCCCAGGTGGCTCAGTTAAGCGTCTGCCTTGGGCTCAGGTCATGATCTCAGGGTCCTGGGATCGAGCCCCACATTGGGCTCCCTGCTCAGCGGGGAGTCTGCTTCTCCCTCTCTCTCTGCTGTGCTCTCTCTCTCTCAAATAAATAAATAAAATCTTTTTTTTAAAAAAGAAAAAAATTGTATTTCTTAATGTAAACATCTCTATAAACACTTTAAAATCTTTACCATACGCAGGGCCCCAAAAAGGTGCAGAACACTCACCTAACCAGGCCAAAGGTATGGCAGGAACCACCACAGCCACTTTCAGTGTGAAATTTAGCACCTGAGTACAACGTGAGGACTCTAGGGTTAGGGCCTAAGATCATTATAAAGGACTCCAATTATCCCCTAAGATGGAAAAAGTTGTTTAATTTCATGAGCAAAAAAAGATACTGCTTCTGAAATCGATCTCTCTGAAAAGAAGTGATAAACAAATATAGAAAGTAAGAGGGGGCACCTTTAGAAAAATGCTCCAAGATTTTCATATTTTGCTGCATCTGAGATTTTAATCTCCTCTGGTTCATATGCTATGGTTCAGTAATGAGGATATTTTCAGCCGACAACTCAGAGGGACGTAACAAAGAGAATCCGCATCAAAGGGAGAGGATGAGCCCTTCACTTCCAGCTCTAACTCACCAGTATTTACAGGCTACGATTTTATACCATCCTATTTTGCACTGGTATTTTTAATCTTTCCCCAAGCTTTTATCATTCTCCTTTATAATTTCGCAATGAGGATATCATGCGACCTTTATTCCTCTCTCATGGATATGGAAATGTCTTCTACTTCCTGCCTGTGCTTAGTTCTGTTCCCTTCCTAGGACTTCAAAACACCTCTACAACTGAAGGACGCTCATCTCAAACCCCAGTTTCTATATAAAACTGTGGGTTTCTTACGTAAAAGTTCACATTGCTCTTGGCGCTCCACTTGTGGGCTCTGCAGGCAGCACCCCTCCCCCTCCCCATCATCGCCCCTTCTGAAGTCCCTTCTGCACCAGTGTGGAGTCTGTGCCAGGCTCAAGCTCTGCAGATCTCTGCAACCCTTTCTGGACTAGACCCCCATGCTAATGCACCACAAAGCACCAATCTTCCAGAACTTACACATTTGCCTTATACTCCAGATCTGTATTCCTTCACGATGACAACAAGTACTGAGATTTTTAGAATTCTCGTGAGAACCACCTTAATTAGCCTTGTAAAGGGGCCATGAAAAAAGCAACTGATGTCTAAAAAATAACAAGGAGTCTATCACGCCTGAGAGAGGGCTATCTTGATGACTGCATAGAAAAAAGTGGTGACCCACAACAAAATTACCAACCAGTCATGACAGACTGCACGACTGTGAGGGGACAACGAAATTCTACTTCATTACAAATGTGCATTCTGTCCAGGGGCAACCATGATCCAATGTAATGCAGATGTGCTTCAGGGATGGGTATGTGTAGGGGACTTAGGTCACTGCACAGTGACTGCTCGTCAATTATTAAAAAAAAATTTTTTTTAAATGCAAGGAACAGTAACACGTTAGTGAACCCACACAACTTAGAATGTTCAGCGATTCCATTTTTAAAAAAAAAAAAAAAAACAAGAGCACTGGTTCTAAAGGAAATTTGGCAATGGGCTTAAAGGGCATCAATAAATCCTATGTTCTTGATTCTGTTTTTTAACTTTAGGATTTCAAGGTTAGTGATAAATAGAGTGCATTTTATACATCACTAATGTATGCTTATACGTCTATATTCATCTAGAGATGGATATACATATTCATCTCTATGAAACTCTATTTGTTTCGTAAGAAAAGTACCAGGAGAAAAGGTGAAAATGGACCGGGAGATTAAAAATATATTTATGTTTTTATTTATATGACTAAATGTGAGTTGGGTAGTGAGTATTAAGAGGCAGAACATCGGTCTGTACAAACCCGGTTTTCTTGTTTCCCTTTAATCCATAGATCTATCTTACTTTTTAAACGAAAGGCCTGTGAAAGGCTGGGATCCATCTTATGATCCCCAGGAAATGGTTAAGAATGGAACTCCTGACTCTTCGTGGACTGATCTGGGATGTTCCAAGTTCAAAGATGTTAACGATGTCAGGTAATTTCAGGAATCCTGGGCGTGTTTCTTGGTCAGAGCCTGGCTAGTACCGACTGCAGTAACAGTAGGTAGGTACTGAGTGAGCCTCAGTATGACGGAGGAACACAGTTTAACATCAGAAACTGTGACTGCAGGTGGCCTTTCAAGAGCTGATTTTCCGACCCTGGGTTCTGATGATAAAAGGCCACATTCAGAGCACATCTCCACTAGGTTTCACGTCCTGGTGAGCATGAGAGATCTTGCTTAAAAAAAACAATATTCTCAAACATCAAAGTTGGAAAGTGAATAAACATATTAATAATTCTTCCCTCTGGACACAAATCAGCTTCTTAGATCCCCTTAAAAATCCGAGGGAGCACTAGAAAAGTATGTCCATAGTAGGAAAGTAAGCTGTGATTCACTGGATCCTTTTGTCTCTCCAATTTTGGGGGGAGCAGTTTTCCCTGTAGATCTGAGAAGATGGATCTAAGAAGAGTTGTTGATTTTTGGTTTTCCAGCTTTTTTCTTACGGCGAAGAGTCCAAGCTCCTTTTAAACTGGAAACCAGAAGTCCCCCATATTTAGATGTTTAGGGAAAAGAAAACCTGCTATAGAAGTTTTTTATCATTCGTCAAAACAGGTTGCCAATCCACAGAAGGCAGGTGCTGAGGTGGCTCATGAGCTTTCAGCTGCCAACTCCTCATGCAAAGCACAAATGCAGTATCGACAATACACTGGATGGGAGGTGAAAATATCCCCTTTTGCTTTTAAACCTATTGCATCTCTAGTGGTTTTCTAAAGACTGAATGATGGGTCCTATTCCTCTTGGCACAAAAGTCCATTTCCACGAGTTCAAAGTGCCTACAGGTCCATTCCAGTTGGGGTTGGGGTATGGAAGTGAAGGCAGAGCATCTACGTGTCATCTAATGACCAGATGATGATATACAAACTCGAGAGAAGTGAAGTAGGTAGCACGAAGCAGGAATAGTGTTTTCTCGAATTCTTGCCTTGGGACAGGCAGGGGCAATTGAGGCAAACCCTCTCAGCACCAAGAGTCTGCATTTCTGGCTCCTTCTGGGAGTGACCGAGGAGGATGACACAGAGAGAGGAAGAGAGCTCTGAAGGCAGATGTGGGAGTCACATGGCTCCTGACAGTGATGAGATTGGCCAGCCACTTCCTGCAGCTGAGGTAGTCAAGCTTCCTGAAAGCGCCCTGCCCCGATCTCTGCACCACAACTACACCAGGAAGGGGGTGTCCAGGGGACCTGGACATGTCACAGTGACAGGAGGTGTGCAAGAGGCCTGTGGATGGCAGCGGCCACGTTTACCCAAGCCCCCTGCTCTCCATGAGGCCATGAGCTAGCTCCTCGTGGCTGCTGTAACAAATCACCGTAACCCTGGTGGCTTACAACGATATGTATTCTCTCAGAGCTCTGGAGGCCAGGACTTGAAATCTAGGCGTCAGCAGGGCCACAATCCCTCTCAAGGCTCCAGGCGAGAATCCTACCAGCCCCTCCTCACTTTTGGTGGCCCCAAGTGCCCCTTGGCTGGTGGTCACATCACTCCAGTCTCGGCCTGCACCTTCACATGGTCTTCTGTGTGTCTCCTTTCCTGTCTCTTGTAAGGACACTTGTTACTGTTACTGGAGTTAGGGCCCACCTGGACAGTAATTCAGGACAATCGCCTCTCGACACCCTTAACTAAATCACATCTGCAAGGAACCTTTTTGTCCAAGTACAGTCACATTCACAGGTTCTGAGGATTGGGAGCTGGAGCTATCTCTTGGGGGCCACCACTCAACCCACTACGGGACATGTCTGCAACCTCCTAACGATGAAGCAGTAGAGACCTCTCATCAACGATGGTGCTACCCTGGAGAACAAGTAGGATGGCTCATCATTCTCAGCCCCAGGAAGAAGGACCTGGAAACCCCCAGAGGGGAGATGATTTTGAAGACTTGTTTACGGCAGAACTGCAAAACTCCTCTTCATTTGTCCTTCCCCACAACACACAAGGAAACGAGCAAAGGAGGCTGCGTTCTGCCTTGGAAAGTTCCGAGGTCAGCAGCCAGGAGGCTTTTGAACTTCCTGGTTCGGTTTCTGGCTCACTGTGAAGATTGGAAATTTAATGAACTTGCATTTCACTCACCAGCACGTTGACAGTGCAGCTCATGCGATTTTCTTTGTTCTCATCATGCATGATGGTTCTATAATCCAGAAGTCTTTCCATCAGGCGCACAACGAGTTTGACGAAAGTTTCTCCTGTTTTGGCGAGGTATTTGTGCTTCCTGCAGTGCTCCAAGAGGCTGAAAAGTAATTATGCACACCTTGTTAATCACGCTCAGAAAAAGAAAGTTGACTGAGGTGCAATTTAAAATATTTTCCATTATTAACACATTTTAATTATTTCTAGGTTACAAAGTTCATTGTAGTCTAATTACAGTCTCTCTGTCTCTATTCTGACGTAATTCCTACTGTTAATCAACACTTACATTTTATCAAATAACACTTTGTACTGTTCATCTCCTCTGCCTCCTTCCACTTCATGATCCAGTTTGGTGATGATCTCATTTTCAAACTATAATTAAACACAGGAAACGTAAATAATCAGCACGGCGGATATTTCATTTTAAAAATGAGCATCAGTAGTACGTAAATCGGTGAGAGAGCATCATCAGATGGTTAGTTACCCTAAGCCTTTGAAGCCTGATTTCATTTAAGAATTGCCATCCCTGGACCTCTGGAGATGTCTGGTGATCCCCTGCCACAGGGGGAATCTTTCATTTCCTTCCCTGGTTAATGGAGCCTAAATGTGTATACTCTGATAGCAGGAGCAAGAACCAGAGAAAGAAAGACGACGGAACATGAAAAAGTGTCTCAAACTTCATCTCCACGAACAAGTAACATCTAAAATAGCTCGGTGGTTCCTGGAAAAGAACAGATGGCATTTCACTTGCCAGCAAAGAGTTCCCTGCAATCGCAAAACATCCAAGGGGCCACTTCACTGCCATTTCTTGATGGATCTAGTGAAATATCTCACTTCGGTTGAAAAAAATATTATAAAATGCTGGAGAGACAATGTCCCTAAAACACCAGCAGACATCTCAAGAAGGTCCATCTCCAGGCCTTCTCCCTGAACACCCCAAAGCTTCTGATCAGATTTCCAGAGCACAGTGGTGGGAAAGGATCCCTAGAACTGTCTCTCGGACCCAAACCCTGTCTCTTTGGAGTTTTGGGAAAAACTCTAAATTCTGGAGAGGTACAAATCTCCAGGCTGTTTTCACAAGGGTCATGAGCCTCATGGTTGACGAGGCTGGAAATAACCACCTCGCTAATGACGGATCTGAGTGCCCATCCTTGCTGCCCAGTCCCCCATCCCTGGCAGGATTCAGGGCCACCTCTGTATGGGATTCTCCATAGTTGACCACCATGTTGCAGGGGCCCCGAAATTACCCATCGACTTGGGGCAGGGAGGAAGGAGACCGGTGAGAGAGTTACTCCCAGAGAGCGGAAGACAACCACACCAAACTGAAAGAAGACAGGTATAGGAGGAATTGAGGGAAACAACAGCTAAATTTGGGGTTCAGAAAGCAAGAACACCCTGCATGTAGGCAGGGGTCTCTAGGATCCCCTTATTTTACTTTTTAAAGATTTTAAGTGTTTATTTAAGAGAGAGCACGCATAAGCAGGGGCAGGGGGGGGGCTGAGGAAAAGGGAGAGGCAGACTCCCCGCTGAGCAGGGAGCCTGACATGGGGCTCAATCCTAGGATCCTGGGATCATGACCTGAGCTGAAGGTAGACACTTAACTGACTGAGCCACCCAGGTGCCCTAGGATCCCTTTAAAATACATGCTCAGACAATGCTTTCCCAGGGAAGAATCCCCAAGTCTTCCACTATTACTAGGATCCTATAATTATTTAAGCTGTGTGATAGAAAGAACTTTTGTGTCTCTGGGTCTCTCCTAGAACAATGCCTGGTGTTGATGTTCTAAAGGCATGAATGTGCTATGTGCACATGAATCACTGGGGTATTAGTGCTACATTGGAGCTGGGGAGAGCTTCATAGGTCAGCAGAGGCACGGTCCAGGTCCAGCAGGTTGCTAAGACACAGGCTGGGCTCTTGGCCACGCAAGCCAAGGGGTGGACACACTCATCTGACGGCTGGCAACAGGGGCTGCCGGCACCCGGTCCACACTGGGCACTCAGGGTTCTGCTGCGGCCGTGGTAGGCAGCTGACTGTGGCCCCCGTGAGGCAGAGGGCGAGGGGTCTGGGGAGACCCAGGGAGGAGCCTCACACCGGCACAGAGCTGCCTGACCTTGATCAGGACTTGCTGCCTGAAGCCACAATTTTATCACAGTACAGATGAAGTGGAGGCTTAAACAGGACGAGAGAGGAGTATTGATTCCTGCTTGACATCAAGGACTCAGCCACATCACAGATCCCAGACCTCCGTGCATCCTGTAGTTCTCTCCTTGATCTTCCCCATTGTCTCCTCCCCAAATAAACACCCTCTGTTTGGCCTGAAAAGTTCAGGGATTTTTAGGAACATAGAAAAAAAGGCAGCTCTAGTGAAGAAGAAAAAAGAACTTGTTTTATTGTTTTTACCTGAAGCCTCATGATAATGACTCTCCTGTACAGTAAGAACCTTTTGATACTAACACACTAGTACTTTGTTCTTTACAGTAAAGAATTCTGCAAAAGGTGGGCCTTTTGGGAATCAAATACGAAGCAGATCAGCTGCCATTAGCCCAAACATTGATGCTTCAAGCCAGTCCCATTTCCTGGAGGGTACCATGATAGGAGCACCACAGAGAAAGAGTCTGGTGAGTGCTCGTTCTTCAGAACAAAGAATTGAGGTACAAAGTAAGACTCAACTTAATTAAAACACACGATTGCACACCACACATGGTTAATGAGCATACAATGAGGAAGGCACAGAGAATGCAGGAAAACATGCTTTATCCTAACGTGGGTAAACACACACAGGCATTTCAACTGTTCTTCACTAGTTAATCAGGCGTATTTGAACTTGGGAGTCTACTTTATGGAAATGGCATGTTTTCTCTGCTTCCACGTAAACCTAGCTGTCACAAACAAGAGCAATAAGGAAACTCCAGCTCCTTAAGTATGCTGCTTATCAAATTTTGACTGATGAATTTAATGTTTCCTAAAATGAGCGGATGAATAAGTAAATCAGAAGAACACAGCTGATTCTAATTTTACTAACCTCTAAACTAAGTAATTTGCACAAACACCTGGCAACCCTATTCTGTTTATCAGCAAGGATTCAATACCCCAGATCTGCAGCCAGCCTCTCATTCCAGGGTCTGCATTATTTTTTGCAGAATATACTAGAATCAATTTGTTAGTGTGCTGTGAACCATTATCATCATCAGAACTAAACGATCCTGTCCAAATAAACTGGAGAAAGTCCATTTGCTGATAGAGCAGAGCTGGTTTCATAAAGAAGTATGTTGATTATCTGACTCGTAAATGCACGCTGTCTGGTAATGCGCAGCAGGGTTCTCCATGGTTAGGTTAAAATTAGCAAGGGTTGACTGTGTTGCTCAAAAGGTGGCAGAGGCTCACTCATGTGATGAGCAAAATCATTATACTTCTTCTCTTTTCGGAATCACCAGTGTCACTACAAAAATGTCCACAGGGTGTCCAACTTAAAATGCTGCACAGAGCATCTCTAAGCATACAATACCAGCGGCCCTCCAAGAGTATGAAACAGAGTCCCCGTGTAAATTCAGGGCTTTTTGGAAGGTTGCTATAAAGCCAAATGTGGTGAAGCAGGGGGCTACGCTCACAAGAGTACTGACAGCGTTGTTAATTCAATTAACTTTGAAAGGAATGACTGCTTTCGCCACTCGACGCCACAGTTAACCACGGGTTATTGGCTCCAATTTAAGGGATCATGGAGCGAAGGATCTCAGCAGTGGATAATCCAAAAGCCAATTCTGTTTGGTTTAGAATGCATCATTTTTTTGGGAGTTAGGCTGACCATTCCCGCTATGATGCATTTATACATGTCTAGAACCAGGCCTGCATTTTCCAGGCATCCAGGAACACATTTATACAAGAGATTGGAGCTTATGTCAGAGCAAGGAAGGGGGCTGGACCCAGATGGAAGGGTTTGCACAAATAATTCACCACATCGATAAAGCGTTTGGAGGTTATCAAGAACGGGGTGAAATCTGAAATCTAGGCCAATGGTCTTCTACGTACATTCGAAAAAGCACTTCTTCGACTTTTCTACAAATAAGCCTTAGTGAATGTGCTCTTTGTCCAAAGGTGCTCTGCTTTCTCCTGTTGTTCAAGAAAATGTGCTCCCAGATGCTGGAGGCAGGATCATGATTTGAGAGCACTCCCTGGTCTCAGAGACTCCAAGGAATCAGATTCTCAATGTCTGAACTTCCAGAAGGAACTGGGCCAATCCATCAGTCCATTAGGATTGCAGAACCATGTCCCTTCTCATTACGGTGGACAGGAGGGGCGGGCGGGAGAACATCACTGAACTGTACCTTCAGGGAAAACAGGACCGAGGGACGAAGGAGCCAGCGTGGCTGGGCAGGGAGCCGCCTAGCACCCCCACACCCTCCGGGCTCTGTGCTCACACGGCAACATCCTAGAAGTCACGGAGTCCCCCCAGCCTGTCACAGCCTTTAACCCCTCTGCTCAGACACATGAATATTTTTATGTATATTGCGTTCCTCTTGCTTCACCGCTCTGTAAACTTAATTACACAGTTAATCTCCGGCACTCCATATCTCACATTCTAAAATCCCCCCATCCTTCCAAGTCCAACAAGAAGGCTGTTCGCTGAAGCTTCTGCCTAGAGCCCAAGGGCCCCACGGCTGGGGGACCGAGCATGGCCTGACCGGCTGGCAGCACTTCAGACAAGTGTATGGCCGCTCCCCACGTCAACACCACACACACCGGGAAGTGGCTTTTGGGCCGTATTCAATGACCCTGGACTCCAGGAACATGCTCTCAGAGTGAGTCCTGTTAATTTGGTTAAAAGAGGTATAGGAGTGTGGGCGTCTCTCTGCTGGAGGGCTTGCAAGAACAGAATTCAATGTCATCGGAACTCTTAACACTGAAGGGCATTCATTTCCGTGATCTCTCAGGCGCTTGGGTCTGGGATTCAATGAAATAAAAGCCTAGTTCTTGTGCTGTATGTTCCCTTTCAGGGTCCAAAACAATAAAATCAAGTAATATCTTGAAATCGAAAGCAAAAGTAACCAACAAACAAAATCCCAAAGAATTAAAGAATAAACAGGATAAAACTGCCGCCAAACTCACATCCAAAGGACTGGGCAAAATGTCCTGGCTACCCCACCAAGTGGCAGAAGCAGCCAACCACTTGGGTTATTCAGTTATTTGCTTAGGATTACCAGCATGGGCTGGAGAAGGAGATTATTCAAATAGGACCTCAAAAACATCGAAGACGCCAAGATTACTCATGTTCTAGTACTGTTACAACTAAATGGGAATTTCCGGAAGTTGTGGAGCATTTTACTGACCCTCCCAAAGATGACAGAAAATAACTCCATGATTGAAACTATGATTTTGCTGTGGAGACTTTTCCACCCCGTTTTTATTAACGGCATACAGCCCGTGCAGTCATTTGCCGCAATTCTCAGCTGTCAGTTCCGTTTCTCCCAAAGACATAACAAATGGAATTCTTTAAAAAGGTGCCAGAAGGGAATTTAAAAGCATGCTTTTTTTTCTGAAGCAAAATCCAGTGAGGCTGAGACTCAGAGCGTTCCCGATTTGGGGGCAGGGGTGTCAGGGACACAGGGGAGAGGTTCGTCTCAGGCCTGGTGCAGGCCCATCTCGTGGTAACGTAGCTCAGCCAGTGCACAAGCCGGTGGAAGGGGCACCAAGGTGCCGATGCCTCCAAATCCCTGCCCCCTAGCCAAGCAGATCCCGAAGGCTTCACACGTAGGAGCACTCCTTTGAAAAAGGTCAAGATCTCCCGAAGTCCCCAGTTCAAGAGTAATAAACATGCTACTCCGGGACTGGGGTCAGGGTGAGGGCAGGTGCGCATGGGGGACAGTGAACACACTGTTGGGATGACTTGAGGAGCAGGCAAGTGGCAAGGAGAGAGACCAGAGAATACATCCTCCAGGACCAATGGGCAGGGGAGAAGCAGTAGAAGGGGACAACTGAGGAGAATAGATGTGGCATGCACATCATAAAAGATTCTTAGAAAGGGCTGGAAGAACCAGGAATTGCTGTGAGCCGGCCTTCGCAGAGCTTCTTCATCACCTGTGAAGATCTGCCCATAACATGTTGACAAAAGGCAATGCCTGAGGCGCTGGAAAGCGTGTCCCAGGCCAGCAAGAGGACAGAACACGTGAAAGGTAACTCCATGCCACCCCATCCCACAGCCGGGCAAACCCATTCAGTGCCTGGACCTGGAAGAGGCAGGGTCGGTAACACCAAGGATGAGGACAAGGACACACTTCTTTTGGATGAAAATTCACGCTCTTTCTTGCAAAAGTAGAGGAAAGAAGTAGACTTTTGGGGAAATGTATGTGTAAGAACATTCTAACGCAAGTCCCTCCACTACAGTGGAAGAATACAGGAGCTGCAACTCTGGGAAACCGGAGAAAAGCCAATCTGTAATACATGCTTTGGAAATTCCAATAATGGTTTGATGCAGTTTAATCTTGAGTAAAATGGCAGGTCCTTCTTCTGCATCCAGCGGGTTCGCTGTCCACTCCAGCTGGAAGAGCACACTACTCCCCAGACAGAATGCATATTTCACAAACAACAGCACGTTAACAGCCCCGCTCAGAAAGAAATAGCACACTTATAAAAAATAAGCTACAACATAGGTTCAAAACACGAATGTTTTGTAAAAATGAAAAACCCTAATGTCTTCCCCTCACTTCATTAGGTTTGCACATCTGTTATAAAAGTGAAGCCAATTTAAGCCCTTGTTGATGTGACTAATAAGGTTAGGTAATTGGATTGGTGGCGGATTAGTTAAACAGCAACCAGCCAGCCCCAACCTGGAGGCTCCCTGGGAGGGGGGAAGGAATGCCTGTACCCTGCTGTTCTGTGCACATGCCCACTCGCTGCAATAGCCCAACACCCCCACCAAGGACAGAGGGCATGCCTCGTGCATCAGGAAGGGGAGCCCCTAGGAGACGAGAGTGGATCTGAGAATAGGAAAGAGTTAGAAAAGATAGAGCAAGTCAAGAGACAGATGCTGTGGTCCAGAAGAGCCCTGGGCGAGGGCCCAAGAGAAGTAGCTGGATGTTGGAGATGAGACAGAGGAAGGACGGACAAGTCACCACAACCCACCATGGAGGACAGAAGAGCAAACAAAGACAAGCCACTGTAACCTGCACCCATCAAACCAAACGACGAGGAGCCTGGCAAAACCGGGCATGATAGGGGAGCAGCAGGCCTAGGAAGGATGATACTCTGTGTGACAGTCCACCTGGGAGGCTGAGACAGACCAAGAGAAAAAATAAATGGAGGTACTGCAAGAGAAAAGGAGATTGATCTTTCTCCCAATTCACAAGAACAGATTAATAGAGCAGAGAGTTTTTTTTTTTTCTCAAGTTTTAGTTTTTCTGCCTTTATTTTAAAAACCTCTGGTATGTCCTACCACTTGCCTTTGAAAGTACAAGTAGATGCCAACACAGATGAACAAATGGTCAACAATTATTGATCAACAAATCCAAGTAGCAGACCATGCTTAGCCTGACAGCAGGTTTTGGGGACTTACGTCTTCATGTTTATGCTTTTATTCATATATATCCAAGCGAGACATGTTTTAGGGACATGAAACTGTGAAGTAGAATTAAATGTGCATAACTGCTTCTTGGTATTACTCAGTTTGGTTTTCTGGAAAGATGGCTCCTGATATTAGACAGTTTTTGAACCCACCACTGGGGGCAGCATTGAGAACAAAGGCAGAAACACCATGACTCTGCTTCATTAACTTTGTGCCCTTTATTGACAAACCAGAGACCCTGTGAATTGGAGGAAATGAAGCACTTCCACAGATGATTGTGTAAGATGTTTTAAAGATGCAGGAATAAGAACCACAAGGATGGAAGGAAGAAGAGGAACAATTCAGAAGCCAAATTCTTATTCATGCCCTTGTCCTTCCTCCAACTGCTGCTGACCTTATTTTGACCCGAAGTTGGCTTCAAAGAATGACAAATGACACTGTTTTAAAGGCCTTTGATCTTAGTTTCCTGGGCTCATAACACTTATTCATATAAATATATTTTTCTCCTTTACCTGATTCTTTTTTTTTTTTTAATAAGAATTATTTATTTCAGAGAGAGAGAGGGCACACGCCAGGGGTGGGGGGGCAGAGACAGAGGGAGAAAGGGAGAGAGACTCTCCAGCAGTCTCCTCACTGAGCGTGGAGCCCAACGCGGGGCTCGATTTCACGACCCTGAGATCATGACCTGAGCTGAAATCAAGAGTTGGATGCTTAGCAGACTGAGCCATCCAGGCGTGCCTACCTGACTCTTTAATAGCATTTTTTCATAAGGTCCTTCTTTGGGGCTTGATTCATATAAAACTCAAAAAGTCAGATGTATTTTCAGCCTAGGAAAAGGCATTTTTAAACTACAAATCCTAGTTGTGGTGAGTTGGCAATGAGATGGGACCATGATTTATGCCAGTGGCAGTGGAGATGGGTCAAACCTTATGGCAACGACATAAAAAAAAATTGGCGATGTCAAAACTTAGAAAAATATTTTGAATCGGCAATTCCATTTTTGAGAATGCATACCAGGAAAACTTTCAAAAGAAAGTCAAGCTATATGCATGCATGTGTTCACTGCACATTTACTCACAGTAGTGAGAATGTGCAAACCACCTAAATGCTCAGCTAAAGGGATGGGTAAGAGAAGATTACCCATTTCATTTTATGAAATGTTATGCCATCATAAAAATCATGGTTACTACGTTGTAATCAAGAAAGATGTCTGTGATAGATTGCCAAACAAAAAGAACCAAAAAAATGTGGACAATGTTTACAACATTACATTACATGTGTACAAAGACTGATTGTAAACCAGAGGAATAAAAATAGCTGTTCTTTTAAAACAGTCTCTTTAATTTTATAAATAAATAAATAAGTGTAAGGAAGTCCTCTTCCCTATGGAAAGAAAGAAAGAGCAAAACAAAGAAAGGAAGTGAGAAGCAAAGGAAGGGAGGGAGGGAGGGAAGAAGGTGGGCAGGTGGGTGGGCAGGCAGGTGGTCTCCACAGGTTTATTTTATTCACTTCTTACAACATCCCTTCGGAGTAGATTCCGTTACATACCACATTACAGCTCTGAATCAAAGACTAAAGACGTTCAGTCATCTTCTGGAGATCCAGGTAGTACCAGGAGTCATGGTCTACCTGACTTCATTGTGCAAACTCAACTGGTACTCACAGAGGTTCTTTGGGCTTTGTATCTGGTTTTGGCTCTAGAGAATACCAAAATTATTCTTCATGGCTACTAGCTTTGTGCCATAATAATGAGGACTGGCCAGTGGAAATCTATAAACAATTCACAATCTATGAACTAAAAAGTATAAAGATGGGGAAGGAAAATCTACACTTTAAATAATAGGCCCCACTACAATCATGCCACTCTGATGCAGTTTTGGTTTCCTTCCAATATAGGAATCTTTCTTAAAATTCCTCAAAACTCTATGTGGAAATAGATACTCACTTACTTGAACTTTTATAATATTTAAGCAAAGGTTGCTTTCAATGTGGAGGACCCACTACCATTTGGGTTCTTCTCATGCCTCTTGCAAAGCATCATAGCCAACCCAGTAGCCCGCTGGGGAGAAAGCCATTGTACGTTCGTGCATGTGAGTGTGTATCCAACAGTGAATATGTAAACACCATACTTATTTTCATGGAATCCAGGGAAGGAGATTTTGTTAATCCTCCAACATAAATATTCAGATTTTGTCTTTCCTATTGATACCGTATGTTCTGAGCACATTATGCAGACTTTCTTCGAGGAGTTCTTATCAGTTCTGCTGCACAAGTAAAAGACCGAGACAGATGTGAAAGAGGAAAAGCAAAGACTTTTGACTTGAAAATAACACACGTTGGCAAGAAGCAGCCAGTCTGAGAATGTGGTAACATCTGGTTAAACATTCTGAGGGGATGTACCAAGGAGAGGGGAAGAGACTTTTATCCAGGGTTGAATGTGTAAGTAAATCCAGATAAAAATAAGTAAGTAAAAGCTAATAATAATTGGGAATATTTCTCCTTAAAGATGAAGGCAAAGGATGATAGGCTTTTTCAAGAAGGGAAGTCCTGGGGCTTTTCTCTTTTAAACTGTAGGGAATTAGGTTTTTCATGTTCAATACCTTTACCTCCAGAGCCACTTATAAAGCCTTTTTCAAGGTGTTCAGGCTTGTGTGCCTTCTCTCCAAGCCACTTACCGCACACCCACTACGCCCTTACCATCTGGAAGCTTCGCGTCGAATGGAATTCACACTGCATCATATCGAAGAAGATAGGGATGGTGGCTTTACGCAGTTCTGTCTCAGGAATTAGCGTCATTTCTAATATTGGGCCGACCATTTCTGGAATGAACTTTATCTTGTGTTGACCTTAAATACAGAAAGGCATTATTCAGAATTTTTTTTTTTTAAGGTTTTTAAATGAGCTTCAATGGACCCAACCTGAACAACACAGATCAATGTGACTTTGAATGCTAGGATATTGGGGACATGCATCCATTTCTCATCCACAGGCATTTTGAATGTGTCCAGCCTTTAGCATAAGAAGTGGACTGTAGGGGCGCCTAGTGGCTCAGTCTGTTAAGTATCTGACTCTTGATTTTAGCTCAGGTCGTGATCTCAGGGTCCTGGGATCGAGCCCCACGTCAGCCTCTGCGCTCAGCATGGAGTCTGCTTGTCCTTCTTCCTCTGCTCCTCCCCTGCTCTCTGTCTCTTTCTCTCTCTCAAATAAATACATAAACTCTTAAAAATAAAATAAAAAAAAAAAGAAGTGGACATTCTAAATGTTGTAAGAGCAGCTATTAAAGTATCCATCCAATATAAGACCTGTAGTCATGTCCTATCTGTTATTATTTCACAAACAGACAATTATATCATATAAATCAAGGACATGAGCGGGGATCTACAGCAGAGCTGGGAGACAAAATACCTGGTATCTCATTTGTGACATTTTGTTATTAACACTAGCAATTTATCCAGAGTTAATCGATCTTACTCATATTTCTTTACAATCAGAAAAGAGAATGGATCCTCTAAAGAATTTACGGTTTTTTTTTTTATTACTCAGCTAATAAGGATTTCTGTAAAGAGAGCCATAAAACAAATTTGGCTATTATAAATAACCACACTTAACAAAGTACATAACCCTCCTAATAAACCTAAATTAATAGATTTCTAAAATTTATATTAAGTGGACACATATGCAAAATGCAACCTTCAGTAAGGAATCTGAATATAATGAAAATCTTGTTTTCAACTTTTACTAAATATGTAATACTTTGACTAAGGCTATAAAAAACGGGATTCTCATCACTTCCCCAAATGCTTAATGTCTCTGATAGGCATGTAACTGTGGCAAAGCATTCTCTTAAAAATGCTATTATATTCAGTCTCTCAGATGACACTTTCCTTGTATTATGCCTAAAAAATGTCAGAGCCAATGTTTCAGAAGACAGATGATAGTGACACCAAATGGTTCATCAACACAATTTGAGTGTCACAGAGTGCTCGGTCTGTCACTGACAGCTTTTACTGTTCCAAGCTGGGAGGAACATTTAAGGCAGGAGCAAGTGGTTGTAGGTGCAAGGATTGGATTATAAGGTATAAACAGGTTATAAGAATGATGGTTTTCTAATCTTTGATTATTGACCTTCCTTCCCATTAGTACAGGAACCTGGCCAGGGGCCAGTGCTGAGCTCTACCTATAGTGATAACCCTGGGGATTTAACCTCTGCAAACAAATGGTCCTCAAGGTGAGCAAGGCCTGGGTGTTCTCCAGGAATCGTCTTTACTTTCTTGTTTTTCCTTCTTTCCCTTTTTTTTTTGGCATTTGCATTATGGATTTCCCCTGGAGCATATCTTGCTCAAATTTAATGATGAACTCAGGTTTGGAATCAATGAGGATCAAGGTGACTCTTGCAGAAGATACACTTTTCTTTCCCCTTTTGAGACAAAGGAAGAACAAGCTAATTATCAGATCACAATAAGAATCCTTTACCTCTGGTCACCTTGCCAATCTCCTAGTTACAACTCCCCAGTTTTTTAAAACCCACCAAGAGTCTTTCTTCTGAGTTACAAAACATGGAGCCAACCCATCCCCTCGGGACAGTGGGCTGTGTTCTCTCAGGGGAGGCAAGTTCTCACCCATCAGTAGCCTCTCCCTGGGTGTTTGGATGATCTCCGCAATCAAGAGGGTCCAAAAATCCAGGACATTAAGCGCAGTCTTACCCAGGAAAATCTCCATGTACACACAGGTAGACCGAGCAAAAATGTCCATCATCCAGGCACACTGAGGTCTTCTATGGGGCTTTTAATGAACGCACATAATTTGTCCAGTCCCCAAAATCATCCACGAAGGGACCCCCTGAATAAAAACTACCCTGGCCCAAACCAGGCCAATGAAGATCTTGCTGAGAGCACGCTGGCTCTGGCGGGACCGTCCCCGCCATGCCCGGCCGGCTGGCATGCCTTGTGTAATAAACAAAACTGACGTGGAGGCGGCCAGGCCGAGGTGAGAGCAGGTGCTCTGGGGTCGCGCTTTGATAAATAACTGAAGAGCTTGGGAAAGAAGCACATTCCCCCTCCCCCTCCTTTTTTGGGAGAGAGTGTGCTTTTGATTTCTCCTTTCGGACTCAAAACGTGACAGGTTTGGGAGGGGAAAACATGCTGCTCTGTCCCACGGGGCAACGCCGTATTTGCACTTGCATTAGATCGAGCAGAACAGACCCTGAATCCTTGCTCTGAAGCTCTGCTTGGAGGGGAGATCTGAGACATTCATCTCAATCACACATATGATTGGAAAAACTCAGGGGAGAAATAGTCTCGTGAAGCATTCAGCTTGTTAAAATCAAAAACAAATGGAGACCAGCGTTGAAAATTCTCTGGGCAGACAAAACAGGTTAGTCCTACAAGCAAAGCTTCATTTAGCTTATTTTGCAAGGCTAACCTGACCGGAGGCACTTCTTGCTTCTGCCTCTGGAAATTGTAAGCAAAAAACAAAAAGAAAAACATTTTCCAAAGGTTGATATGAGGTAACCACTAACCAACTCCCCCTCATTTAAGAGAATTCTAAAATTATAACCAATCACTGATATTATAACCAATAAACAGTCACCGCTTTCTCACGACAGAAGCTGCTTTGTAAGGATACACCTCTGAGCCTCCTTCCATGCATTGGTTTGAGTGCTCTAGGCCTGCTAATTGTCTTCTTGGTGTGTGCACAATAAACCTTTACTACTTCAGTGATTTGTTGGTTTTGCTTGTTATTTGTGACCTTTGACAGGATAAAGTCCCGATCGAGTGATAGGTGACTAACTGTAAGATTTACCTGACTTCCATTTTTATTTTGTGGACAGAGCTGGCTAGATCAACCTGCCAGTATGTTCCCAAACCTGAGCTCATTAAAAAAAAAAAAAAAAAAAAGCTGTGTAGAAAATAGGTTGTGTACATTTTGGGGAACTGAGACGTGCTCTCAAGAGTGGGGGCCTTGACAGTGACACTTGGGGCAGGCTCCAACACCTGAGATTCGCAGCAGAAAAAAGAGCCAGGTGGCCTGAGGTGACCCCATGGAGCCATTCTTAGCTGTTTTGAGGGGCTGCTCGGGGCAGATCCTTTGGGCAGCCGATGCTTTTATTATATGTTTTTAATTTTCAAAAACTAATGTAATTATTTTACAAGCAAGGAACCCAATCATGCTGGTTGGTGGTTATTTCTTGCTGTTACCAGATTCCTACCCTTCATGGACCAAGGTCATGGTTTACGCTTGACCTCTTGGCTCTCTCTCAGGCCAGAGTCCACATTCTTGGCTGCAAAGCTGCAAAGCACAGATCTTATGCATTCATCACCCTATTCAAATCAGCAACTGCCAGGAAACAATGGGACATTTGCTCTCCTAACTGCATCCTTTACCTTGCAAATCAAAGATCTCCCGCTTGACTCAGCCTATTTGGAGCATAATGACCGATAATGTTGAGGGAACCAACTGCTCCAAAACAGCTTTAAAGATCTGATTTACACCTAAGGGTGCATCCTCAGAAGGTCTAGCCTTTCCCAGAGCCTGGAAGTGAGCATCACAAAGCAGCTCACATTACCCTGGGCCCTTCGTACCTTCCTTCACGACAATCATGGAGACGGGGCCAGTTGCAAATGGTGGTCAGTCTCAGGCACTACAGAGGTGACCACGAACATAATTTTTATAGAAAGAAAGAAAAGCCAGAAAGGCAGGCGTGTCCATCAGTCAGGCCAGTCGTGGCTTGAGCTCAGTTCTGGAGCCTTCGTCCATGCCAGGCAGTGACCCTTCAGGGACCCTCACAGAGGAGGGGAGGGTCCTGGCGGAGCACTAAGGGGCCCGGGTGGGCTGAGTTGGGGCAACACTATTTATCAAGCAAGGAAAAAGCATTTTATTTATTTTCCTTTTTTTAAAAGATTTTTTAATTTATTTTTGTGTGAGAGAGAAGAGCGTGCAGGAGCAGGGGAGGGGCAAAAGGAGAAGCAGACTCCCCACTGACCTGGGAACCAGATGTGGGACTGGATCGTGACCTGAGCAGAAGGCAGACGCTCAACCAACTGAGCACCCCCAGGCACCCAAGAAAACAGCATTTTAGTATGTTAATCATCAGTCTGAATATCTGCCAGGGTGGATGCCTCTAGTTAGCCTAAATGATGCACAAAATATCAAGCCATTTCAGAATGAAGCACTGTCATTTGAAATCATACCTAAAATTCTCCTTTGGGGGGAAACACACAACTCAGTGTACTTGAGAAATGAAACGAAAAACTTACAAGAAGGTGTTGCCACTCTCTTGGGAAGGGCCAGCAGGTGAGAGATGGCCTGGGGACTCTCATGCGGGGGGTGGGGGGGGCAGGTGGAGCCCACAGCACCTGCCTGGTGGATGCTGGCAGCTAGGAGAGCCCCAGACTCCCTCTCAGCCAGCAGAGAGCAATTCTCTCCATGCCACTCTCTGAATGTCCCTCTCTGCCTTGTTCTGTGCTCTCTAATGGGGATGTATTTGGTCCCTTCCTGGCATGAGTTCGGCAGTGTCTGGCCTACCAGGGCAAATGACAAATGCATTTGTCAGAGCATGATCAATTAAAATGAATCATGAATGGCCCTCCTCCCTGTTCTAGAAGACTTGGCATTTCATTACAGAGATCATCATACATATATAAAGAATTATGGAGTGTCAGGATTGGGAGGCTCTTGAAAACTTTAGTCCAACCTCTCTTGTAAGAGAGGATGGAAGCCCAGAAAGACTGGGTCATGGGGGAGGCCACACAGCCAGGCAGAGGCAAGGTAGGAAGAAAATTCCAGTAGGATTCAAGTCTCTTCACTGGAGCCAGGGCTCCTCCTTTCCCCTCCCCCCACCCGGGGG